AGCTTGGGGCCCCGAGATGACAAGGGCCCCCAGATCCTACTTTCCCCCCTCTTCTTTTAAAGTTTTATTCGGAGCTGGGGCTCTCAGAAGCCGAAAATGCATTTTTTTTCTTTTTTGCATTGTCGGACATAATAAATATAAATAAATGACTGAATAAAACAAAAAGCTTCGTTGTCACTAGTAGGGTACATATCATCTTACAAGCAATTTGAGTATTAATAAATTATTTATAAATAAACAATTTTTTAGTTTAAAAGGTAAAAAGGTTTTTTTTTTTTGCCCCATCGTTCGATCATCAGACTATTTAATATCTGTTTCTAAGGATCAGAATTCCCTTTTATTTTACTTTAAAATTGTACAAATGATATATTTAATGCTTTCATGTGATATGCAGCAGTTTTAAACAGCACTTTAAAATATCTAAAAAAGGACAGAAATTGTCAGTTAAAAAAAAATTAACTAATACTTTTGAATAAGAATTTAAATAACTACACACGTTTGTTTTGCTATCTCATTCTATATAGCATTATTTAGAGTAGACAGTTGCGTGTGGGTGTGATGATGACGTAATAAAAGAGGCATACAAAAAAAGCAAATTTCATTTCAGTTAAAATCCTCAATATTATATTTTTAAACTCCTCGAAAATGTAGTAAAAGAGGTATACAAATTAACTGTCGCAAACAAATTAATATTAAGTAAGAACGAAACAAAAATGATATCGAAATATGCTGAATCACTAATGAGACCGGGATGAAAGACATCGAAACCTATTTGATTGAATAGTATAACTAGAAGGTGTTTCTAAAATTCTGAAATCTATCAGGCTTTAATTTTTTTTTTTTTCACAAACTTTATCAGTAATTAAAAATAATAAATTCGTTAGATTTCAATATTGGTTCTGTTTTTTCGTTGATTAAATGTTAAACATTAACAGATATTTGTCTTTTAAAACATTTCATTCTATAATAAGATAATTATTCTACAATTGTAATTATCTAAAACTAATTGCTAATTGATATAAAGCTTTAGTGTGTTCCATTGATATGTTGAATGCTCGTTTTGGCTGGATGCCCGGGACAGTTGCTCTTTCACATCCTAGCCACTATACACCATCAAGAGCAGAGCTGATACTTTAAACCCGTATGACATTTATTCTCTCTGATATTTAATAGACCCTTTAATAAATCCTTAAAAATATAAGCCAAAAATTTACATAAATAATGACAATTTTTTTTCTTGCACTAAAATTTAACAAATGTACTTAAAATAATTAAAAAGAAAGCAAAAATAATGAAGAAATATTTTCAATATAAACATCAATTAAATAATATCAGCTTACGAAATGTTCTTTTTATTTTTACAAACAGTATTAATATAACGGCCCTCACCTGCTCCAGGGTGTAGGGACTGCTGGATTGGGAATTGACAAGGCTACTGATTTGAATATTAGTAGTCGTAAACTCGAAACTGGGTTGGCTGTGCAATGACTGTTATAAAATAAATTAATAAATGTGGGCGGGATAGCCTGGTTGATGGGGCTCTTGACTCGTGTTCGTGAGAATTGGAGTTTGAATCCAGCCGGCAGAAGAATACCCATGTATAAAATGGTGACTGGTGCATGTTAAATCTGTCGAGGTCATAAAGTCCTCCAAGTTCTCATAAAGTCCCGGGCCCATTTTGATGTTTAATAACTCATAAAATAATAAAGATAGATTAAAATTAATAACATAAATGGTGCGATAGACTCAAAAAGTTTCATGACCCTTGTCAATGAATTTCCACGTGTGCCCCCTTCGTCACACGGAGAATATCAAGTCTATAGTCAAGTCCATAGCGGCAAGCATGTCGGATGCCGTCATTATTTTATGAGTTATTAAACATCAAAATGGGTTCGGGACTTTATAAACATCCTGTATTATCAAATTTTTTAATAATATAATGTTAATACTCAACAATAAAAAGTAATGACAGTTTACTTTAGGTGTATAGAAATGGAATTAAGCTTATAAGGGCCCCATCATTTTCAGTAGCTTAGGGCCCCACTAAGCTAAAATCCGGCCCTGGGTACAGCGATTACCATCCTTTAACATTTTTCGTATAGCAGACGCATTATCCGGGATTACTGGCCTTCCTGTGTGTTCTTCATCCTGAAGGAAATTGAGACCTCTGCTCAATTCTTTAAACCATCTGAATACAGTAACACGAGCTGGAGATTCATCACCAAATGCTAATTGCAACCGCTGAACGCATTCTTCTTGATTTAATCCTGCTTTAAAATCGTAGAAAATCATAGCGCGAAAATGATGTCGCGTCAACTCCATTTTCTCTTCTGTTTAAAGTTTATTCTACGCTAAACAAGTTGAAGTAAGTCAGTAAAAAATCGTTTGCCGTGTTAAAATACACTTTGTATTTTAAAATTAAGCCATTATTTTTATTTTGTAAATTCTTGTCTGCGCGTATCTCAAAAATTTCAGAGTAACCCTGATGTTCTTCATATCTTCAGAGTAACGAGATGTTCTTCATATTTTTGTAGCTTTTAACTCAACCCGACAATCAAAGTAACTCGCTATTTACGTATTGGAATAAAACCATACTTATAAAAGGTATAATAATAATTAATTATAATTAAGATTAAATTGAAATTAAAATTATCAAACTTTGCGTTACACGCTAAGAAAAATAAATGAAAATGCTTTTCAGATTGCTTTTATTTGGTATATAAAATAAAATAACTTGCCATTCAAGCATCGGAGTAAATTTATATTTATGAAAGTTAAAAGATTAGTTTATTTTAATTAAGATTAAATCAAAATAATCACATTTTGCGTTATACGCAAAGGAAAACCACGAAATTTTTTTTTTCTTCAAAATTGCTTGGTCATAATAGGATTCAAGCTAAATGTTCATCATCATCTCAATGAAAATATTTTTTTTAAGCAGCCATTTTTTTATTATTATTATCCTTAATAGATAGGGTACCATCTTTCTGAACAGAACGAAAAGCTCTTCTTATTAGCTCAACCCGGAAAGTAAAGTAAGTCGGATTTTAAGCATCGAAGTATAATTGCTATAAAAATAACCAATTTTAATTAAAATTATCAAATTTTGCTTTACACGCTAAGGAAAACCACGAAAATGTTTTTTTTTTAAATCGCTTTTATCGGTAATAGGATTCTAGCTAAATGTTTATAATCTAAAAGAAATAATTTTTTAATAACCAATAATTTTTTTTCCATCCTTGTGAAGCTTATCATCTTTGTGAATGTAACGAAACGCCATTATTATCTTTAATTCAATTCAGAAATCAAATTAATTAACAATTTAAGTATCGGAATACAATCATGTTCATGAAAGTTATAAGAATAGTTTATTTTAATGAAGATTAAATTAAAATAATCAAATTTGCGTTACATGCGAAGGAAAACCACGAAAAAGTCTTTTAAATTGTTGAATGGTTATAGTTTTCCAGCTAAATGTTGATTATCGTAATGAAATTATTTTTTGTAATCAAAAATTTTTTCATCGTCCTTGAAAAACAATCTGTCATCTTACTGAATATTGTGAAACACTCTTCTTATATTAATATTTTTTTTTTACACAACGCAGGAATCAAAGCAACTTGCAATTCAAGTATCAGAATAAAAGCATACTTATAAAAGCTATTGTAGTAGTAATTCTGCTATACAAACTAAGGAAAACCACGAAAACGTTTGTCAGATTTCTTGATGCTAATAGGATTCCATCGAAATGTTCATTATAGCAATGAAATCATTTTTAATAATCAATCACTTTTTTTTTATCATCTTTGATATATAGCCTATCTAAGTGATTGTTGTGAAATGCTCTAAAATTGTTTTTGTACTTTTCTGTATTTTTGTCTGCAACCCAGATATCAAAGTTATTTGTAATTTAAATTCAGGAATGAAATTATATTTTGAAAGACTTTTTGAGCGAAAATAATTAGAATTTACGTTACGCAGAAATGAAAACCACGAAAAAGATTTAATAATAAACTAATTGAACGCTAGCAGACAATTATGAGGCTCTATCTCAGCAATTATTAACATTTTCCAATTTTTTGTTCTGCATGAAATTAAATGTTTTGGGCAGCTTAGATTGCTTATAAAATTGTTCTTTATTTTATATATTTTAATTATTTTATTTTTTTAGTTATTTTCGTATTTTTTAATAAGCCCTTAAATTGTTTTTATTTATTTATTCATTTTTTTAATTTTTATTTCAAGTATTTGAATTTCAGAATAATATTAAAATCAATTTTTAAGAATATATCATTTTTTTTTCATTTTAAATTTAAAAATTATAAATCTTTAAAAAATTTAATAAAGATGTGTTCAAAATTTTCTGGCACAGAGACAAAATGTTATTATTTATCATAACAATTTATAAAAATCAAATAAAGAAAATTCAGTTGAGATCAGTGATATCAAAGTTCACTCTGACATCGGTTTGGTATAGTGATTGATCTTTCTATCTTTATATCCTTGTCTGAGTATACAAAGCAAAGGAGGGGATACAAGTTTCTATATTCATTGTCTACGAAGTGTTTCAATTGGTTTGAATAAATTATCAAACCGAGCATGGCATTAGTAAAATTGCGCCAAACAAAAATGCTAAAAATGCCATTCTAGTAAGCCTGACTAAACGATTAAGCGATAAAGATGAAAACGATGGTGCGATCGACCAATCAAATGTCTCTATTTAATAAAAAATCGGTCAGCCAAGCAAGAGCGAAAAAATAATTGGTTTTGTATCGGTGTTGGAGCGGCCATCCTTGGAATTAAAGCAAATTTGAGTGCTTTAGAGACGCGGGACTGCTATTTGCACTGAAGAATTCAAATCTATTTCGTTTTTGAAGAGTTAAAACAAGTCTATTGTTTCCAAACTTTCCCAAATCCAAACTTTTGAAAAAATTCAGTTTTAGCATGGTTTTAAGCACAGATCTTATATTGTACAAAAGTAAGACTCAGGAAGCGAAATTTTGTTTCTGCACATTTTTTGCAGTGCCTGTTCTATTCTACCTGCTGGAGATATGAAAACAAAACCGCGTGTTTAGGAACAGTTCTCTATTGTATCTCATGCTTTGGAAACTATGTACGCAATTTTACTCAGCAAATTATAGGCGTTTCTCGATTATTTTCTAAGCGTTCACAGCTCAGAGTAAATTAATTACCTTTCCTGGATGAGCTCTAGGTGGGTGAAACTATTAAAAAGTGAATTACGTATGCATATTTTAAATTACGCGATATCTAGCGAAGTTCAAAACAATTTCAATGCAATTTTTTTTTGTTTTTAATCTTATCAATTGTCTCACAACATTTAAGTTAATATCAAGTATCAAACAGTAAGAAGCAAAATATGAACTGAAACTAGAATACTTATATACTGAACTGCGGGTTTTGTACTGCTCATACTACTAATTTATTAAAATTTTATTCAGGCAAATCAGTTGGGTTGTTTTTTTCAACACTTCTTGTTTTAAGAATCGAGAGCATTTTTTTTCTTACATTTTTCTGTTTTTATTATAGCTGTACATTTAAACTCAGCGTTTTTGATAGACTATTCGTATTGCTCCTTATTTCCTGTGCATTAAGGCAAATAACCAGTAGTAAAGAAAGCTGTGATTTTCAATATTAGTTATAGTGTAAGAAATACGAAAATTTTTTTCTCTATTTCTATTTTGCTTTGTTTATTAACTTTTCTTTTTATCTGCATTTTTATTATGAAACAGAATCTTTGAAATAGCGTTTCTCATGAAAGTTGTACTTTAATCATCACTTTTTTTTAAAAAAAAATTTGATTATGTTAAAACGTTTAATAAAAATTTTCAGTGTTATATTTATTGCTTGAAAGTTAAGTGTGATTTTTGTTTTGGTTTCTATCTAGCTTTTTCTTTTTTAAGGAATTTATGATTTTATCAACATTTTTATCATATCACAGCAATTCTATTTCTATTCACCTTTATTCTTTTTTATTCACTTTTTCTTTAAAATATAATAATTAGAAAACTGAGATGTTAAGCTTTAAAATTTTTCTTTTGAGAATTACGATCGGCTTTTATTTTTCTGTTTTGCTTTTTTATCTAATCTTTTGTTTTTATGGACATTTTTATGATAGTGCGGTATTTTTAAGAGTGTTTTTGGCAGACTATATTTCTCTTAACGTTTTGTGGATACTTTTTTTCACTGAAAAATGCTATTTTTTGCATATAAGTCTAGTTTTAAGAATTAAAAGTATTTTTTGTTTTTCTTTTTTTCAACTTTTCCACTTCAGTTTTTTTTAATAGCTGTTATCCCATATCATTATTAGTTAAGTTCTGATTAATTTTCTATAATAACTAAACTTGTTTTTATGAAAAATATTTATTAATGATTTTCTTTTTAAAAAAATATGCTATTCGGCAGATGAATATTCGGTCAAATCATTATTCGTTACATCCCTATTGAAAAGCATCAATGTAGATATATAATAATTATACAATAAACTTTTTCTTAGATTCAGATGATATAGTTCTTTCCATTAGAAAAACGAGACTTTTATTAGTTTAAATTGCAGTCGTTTATGGTAGATTGTCTTTTCTGTTTTAAGATGTTAGAATTAATATTTTTGTTTAATTTCATGTTTTAGTAGGATAATTTTTATTCTGATTTTGAAAATTTAGTGTTAAAATTTTAACTTTATATTAATAATCGACTCTGTAATAATCATTTACTAAATAGGAATATATCATCTGAAGTTGCAGTTAGGAACCAGAATTTTTCAAGAGTGTTCTATCTTAGCAACATTTAATTTTATTTCACAACTCTCTTCAAAAAGTTGGTAATGCACAGTTGATTTTTTTCACATTTTATTACTAAGTTGTTTTTTTAATCAGGAAAACAATGTGTTTTTTCTCTTTTCGAAAAATAGAAATGCTGGGTATCCCCATGGCAGAGTAGTGGCGACATTAACATTGCCAAGTTCTTGCAGAAAGATTTTTCCTTTGAGAAGTAAAATATTTTTCTTTTCTGCAGAAATTTTTGAAAGATTTCATCTTTTCTTCAGAATTATATTTAAAAGAGGCTTTTCTTGCACTTTGGATTGGAAGGAAATGCTTATAATTTTTCTATTCTCATTTGAGAATAATGAAAAGGAAAGAATAAATATGTAAAAAATATGGTTTTCTTTTTTGTAGAAATTTGCATTCTACTTTTTCATGCAGTTATTAGTATTGATTTTCACATAGGTTTCAAAATCAGACATTTTTAATTCGATGTTCTTTATTACAACAACTAAATCTCAAAATAAAACACGCATTTAGTAACCCTTTTTTTTTAGTCCGATTCACGTGATTTCGCCTTCAATCTCTTTTTTCAGTAGTTACTGCTGTAGATTTCACGATTTTGTAATTTTTTTTAATGTGATGATGAATTGCAAAATGCGAAAAGGAAATAATTAGTGTGTTATCTTCCTACAAAATGTGAGAATATCATCCATAATATTAGAATAAAAAAAATATTACATATTCAATTAAAAAAATAATTTTATTTGATTTATTTACTTATTTTTTGAAGTTAACGCTCTTGTTACTTTAAATTCGTAACATGTATATATGTTATTTTTAAGTATCTTTCCTACACAGAAAATTAGTTTTTCTTTAAATTTTGTTACTCAATGAAATACTATGCTTGGCAGGGAAGATTTGTAGAAATTTGCCAAAGTAGCTAGTGAATAATTAACCAAATTCATAAATGTAGATGTTTACAAATCCCTGTGTAAAAAAAGTAGTTTTTGGAACATTCTCTGAAAAGTGGAAAAAAAATATTCCTTATAAAGTCTCGTAAATTTTTTTATTAATAATTCAAATGCATATTATACCATTCAAATCAATATGTCTGATGAAAGAAAATTCAATCTAAATTTTTCTGTGAAACTAGATTTCATTGTGCATTAATGTTTCGAATTGTTCTTTTATTGCAGAGGAAGATATACTCCTTTAAACCAAGAAATGTATACATTGTATGTGGAGAGTAAGCTTGCTGGTCCATTATTTGGAAGTGTAATTGTAGAAATGAATCCAAGAGAAAATGTAGGTAATATTGTTGACACCTACTTACATGCTCTACAAAATGAAGAAAAAGTACCTGGCTTGGCAATTTATAATGGCAATAACCAAAAGCTTGAATGGAATGCTACTCTAGAATCTCAAGGGATTGAGGATGGAACCAGAGTGTTTATTGGTCATGATAGTAAGTTTAAATTTTGTTGTTGATTCATCTTTTTTATTTTCAATTTGTTTACATTGAGCCTTTTGTTTTGAAGGAACTTGAGTATGCTTTAAAAATATATTAATGGGTTATTTTTTATTTATTATATATTCTTATGTTAACTTTTCTTATGGTTAAGGTTATTTATTATATATTATGTTCACTTTTTTATGGTTAAGGTTATTTTTTATTTATTTATCAAGTTAACTTTTTTATTGTTTCAGTTCTCTAAGTAAAAATTTTACTAGATAGTTATGGAAATCAGAGGGTGCAGGAGAAAAACTACTTGCTTGCCACTAAATAGAATGAGTTCTGTATTTTCCAGGGAGAATCTTTTTTGTAGAAATTTATGGTTCAAAAACCATCCAACAAACAAACCATTACTCTCAAAAGGTGAATGCAGGAGAAGAAAAGGGGGAGCAGTGACCTTGGAGAATGAGCTGAGTTAAAATTTTGTGTTAGTTGAGATGCTGATACAAATCTTAATATTTTATGTAAAAAATACTTCTATTTCGTCTCAAAATGCAACTTAAATTTAAGTTTTTTACCAAATCTTGATGGGTTTTTTGAGAAATTGGAACTATTTAGATACAAGACTAGAAGGTTAATTTCCAAGATAATTAGATAATTATCAAGATCTTAGTAAATGCTAAGCTAACAACAAGAAACATACTTATAAGTTTTCGCAATATTTTAAATATTTTGTACTTTGATATATAATTTAAAATAATTATTAAAAGATTTTTCTTAGAAACTATAATAAGACTTTTTTCTCTAAAAATATTTGCTAATTGTGGGCTCCATAACTTCTTTATTCATCTCATTTATCTAAACTTTTATTACTGTTGTATTTTATGTTGCACATAGGTTTTTATATATTTGTTTTTATGTATAGTTTTATGTACCACTATTGGTCTGAGTATAGAACATCTAATCTTTCACGAAAGTTATTTGATGTGAATAATCATTTAATATTACTGTAACAACTGTCTGTTTTTTCATTAATGTGTTTTATAAGAAGTCATTTTTAATTAATTTTAAACAATTATTAAGATAGTATATTTCATAAACACTTTATTATGAATACGCTTTAGATACAGTGAATGAATAAAGTAAAAATGTAGAATGAAAGGATACCAATAGATGCATCAGTGAATAGGTGAATTAATACAAGTCAGTAGTATATAGCAGTGAATTTGTTATTGAAGGATATTTTAGTGAATTGTTGAATGAATGAATGAGTTTATAAATGAGTTTATAAATGCATAAAAATATTTATAAAGCTATAAGTTGGTTTACGGCAGTCAATGACAAAAGTTTTTCATTTTTAAAATAGTTTTTAACAAAATGATGACGTTGAAGGTAAATTATAGCAATGTATATCGAAAATGAAACTCCAGAAACAGCTGGTTTTGAAGATTCTATAAAATTGTTTGCAATAATGATAAAATTGTTTGCTCAATTGAACTATTGGTTTTCTTTCTTAACCTTGAATGCATTCATTCTAATTTTTCTTATTCTCATGTTTCCCAACTCAACATTTAGGATTGATATAGATTTCATATTTATTTTCTCTATTAGAAATATTGTAATTTAAAATAAAAAAAGCATTTCTCTATATCATATTGATTACACCAACAGGACAATTCAAGGATTTTTTTTTCTTTTAAAAAAAGATTCCTTTTCCAAAATGGAGTTATTGGTGCCGTTTTCAGTATTGCCTGGGGTGCAATGTCTTCTGACTGCACTGTTTTATATTATTACTTATGTATTGATAAGAACAGCCTCTTTTTTATACTATTGTGCAAATGTGGAAAATTTATTTCGAAGTATATAGTATGATACTTTTTAAAGGATCTAATTTTATGAAGCCTGTCCATGTTGCTGTTATTGGTCTTTCTACAATTCTCATAGCTTGTGTACTTTTTGTTGTTACTGCTTTATTGTATGGAACGACTGGAGGAATTATACCTTTTGATGTAAGTAACTGATTTAAGGTTATCCAAAAAAATAAATATAATTTTTGTTATCTTTAATAATGTCACATTAAATGTATTTATTTAAGCTTTACATTAATGAATATTTTATTTGCAAATTTATATCTAAAAAATAGACATTTTAAAAACTTTGCAGAAAGGAGGATTTTAATGAGTAAAATTTTAAAGTTTAGTTTTATAAATTTTTTTTATTGTAAATTGATAAATGTAATTGTTTTTGGGAAAGCTACATATTTTATTATTGATTAATAAAATATGTAGTGTTTACTCAAATAGTTTTTAAATCTCTAAAACATAACAAAGTGAATGAAAGCATAAACCTTATGCTCTCCTAATACTTTAATATGCTGTTTTAACTAATATTTAACTAATGTAAACACTAAATCATTTAAACCATATAGTACAATATATCTATATTATTTCTAAAATTCATAAAATAATGTAGTTACAGGGTGCATGGTGTTTTTAAAAAGTGTTATTTATATTTTTTAAAAGCTCTGAAAGGTGCTTTTTTTATTCGGAGTTGTGAAAAGTGTTTAATTTTCTATCTTTTAAAAAATGATTTTTGTTTTTCTAAATATAATTGTTCTAAATATAATTGCCGTATTGATAATTGTTCTTAATCGCAAAAAATGCATGTTTTTCATAATTTTCTCTGCAATATTTATTAGAAACTAGTTATTTTATCTTGATTATGTAAAATTCTTTGATTATGTAAAGTTATTAAAGTTTTCATAAACTAAGAACTTTAAACGATAGGAAAAAAAATTATTACTCCACAGATCCTAATTATGATTTTTTTTGGAAAGTGATTAAAAATATATTTTGAGTGGTTCAAAAGTACTTAAAGGGTGCTTATTCTTGTTGAAAAATCTGGCTACGCACCCATAGTTACTAATTATTAAGATAAAAAAATTTTAAGTTTTAGAAAGGTCCTTTTCAATGTCTACTTAGAGGTAACATAGGAGTGCAAAAGGTTACAAAACTTAATCTGAAACTGAAGGATAAAGAAAAGTAACAGATTTTGTCTATGTATTAGAGAATGGGGATGGAAATGAAAACAAGGACTTCAAAAGGAAAAATATAAAATGGACTAGAGATATCATAAAAATAAATTTAAGTTATTCATACAAAACTTCAGGGTTTCATATTAGGAAAAAGTATGCAAAAATTTAATTAATCTTAGAAAAAGAGTCCAGTGGTAGAGTAATCAAAGCTTAAATCAGTAATTATATTCAGCAGAGAAATCAGAGCCTTTTCATTGAGTTCTTTATTCACACCTAAAATTTAATACAAACTAAGAGATGGCTCATTAGACTCACTGGGTTTTACTTTCTTTTTTTAGCATTGAAGTAATAACTATAAATATGTTTCTAAGACTATAATTTTTATAATTGTCTTTACAAAAGATTAAATATCATTTTATGAAATCTTTGTTTTTTTCCTTTATCTCTCTGTTGTCAGTTACATCATATTAATTTTAAATTTGAATGGAATGCTTAACTGAGCCTTGTCAATCCTTCAGGATTGTAAGATGCTGCTGAATTAGTAAATTTTAATCTTGAAATCCTGTAGAGCCAAAAAAAAAACAAAACAATATAGGATTGCATTCCATGAATATAGCACCGGGCACAAAATAAAAAACAGACCACCCTCAATTACTTTTGATCTAGTGATCGGATCTTCAATTCAGACTCAATTTTAATGGCTCTAGGGGGTGACTTCAAATAAGCAAACTAATAAGTGCAAACGATATTTTAAGTTATGGAATCAGACACAAAAACGTTTTTTCTCTGAATAAACTTGTCTTTTTTCCCCGACAGATTCGAATTTCTGACCCCCAAAATATAGGGTTAACTGCAGTCTGTGAAATATGATCCCAATTGTTCAATCAGATGAGCGCTCTAAAGTTCGGACTTAGACTTAAGTAGTTTAGGAAAATAAAATGCTAATTTTATTTTTTGAATATCTATATCTCAAGCTATATCTCAAGAAAATTATAAGCAAATTGAAAGATTTTTTCATACAATTATAAAATTCTTTTATCCAAAGATACTTTTATGCAAAAAGTAACTTTTATTAAATATTTTTTATTATTCTATTTAATAATATTGAAAAAAAATTTTGAATTGTAAGGTATAGAATTTTTTACACCATTTCACAGTGGACCAGCATCCAAGGTTTCGTGGCCAAAATTAGTATTTCGATAAAATTTGTTTCAAGATTTGGGGATTTTTATTTAGGATTTTCATGTGCAGGTAAATTGAATTCATAGTTGAAATTTTGAAATACACTAAAAATGCCATAAAAAAAAACCAGATGGCGCCTGAAATATGGCAAGCAAAAAATATATATATATCAGGGTGGCCACCCACCTGGAAAACCTTCAAAACCTGGAATTATCAGGAAATTTTTTTATTCTGGAAAAAACTTGGAAAAGTCAGGGAAATTTGGATAAAAGCCTGGAAAAATCAGGGAATTTTAAAGAAATGCTGGAATTTTTTACTTAATTTGAATTATTTTACCATCTCTTTTATCCACTTTATTTAGACTGAAATTTATCGTCAAACAGTTGAAATATCATCAACTTAGTAATACTTTGCTTGCATTAAAATTCTTTCCATTATTACCCTGCTAAACTAGAATGCCATATGAAACTCTCCCATGTTGCTAAATGAATGGCGATTATAGGACTAATTAGTTTAGGAAAGGCAAAAATTGTAATAGAGGTGGAAGAAGGGCTTAGGATATTTGCTCTGTAGGTTGAATTCATTTACTGTTCAAGTTGGGGATATTTTTTTCTTTTAACAAAATGTTTTAGTGTTTTTAACTTTCCAAAAAAATTTTTTTATAGTTTAATAATAGATTTTGTCTTGCACTCCTTTTCTGAAAACTTTTGTCTTCTCATACAATGAATTAGTTTTTCTCAGTACAGCCAACCAATCTCTCATTTTCTTGAATCGCTAATAGCAAAATCGTTACAATTGTTGCATTGATGCTAATTTTCGGAATTTCATTTTAACTTTTTACAGCATATTTTATTGAAAAGAAAAAGGTTCTTTTGTGAACCAACTAGATGTTAACAATAAATCTTTCTGTTGTTAGTAAATATTTGATTCAATATTCAAATAATGTATTAATCACAATGCCCAAAGTTCGTAAATGTTGCTTACATTCCAGAGATATTTCCGAAACTGTTTCTCCTTTTACCCTAAAAAACTGGCAAAAGCCAAGGAATATGTGAAAAATGTGTTAAATGATGTATAAACTTGGAATATAAATTTGTATTATCTATATTTGTTCATTAGAAAGAAGGAAAAGAAAAACTTGTATTTTTGTTTTGTACTATACAGGTACAGATTTCAAGTTGGGCAACCAGATGACCAAAATTTTAAACTTAATATTAAGTGAATAAGGTATCATTTCCAAGGTAAAAAATTGAAGATTTAGAAAGAATGACTTATACCTTAATATCAATTTTCATTTAGTTACAGACTATTAAATCATCATTTGAAATTTCTAACTGTGGTAAGTGAATCTCTAACAAAGTACAGTTTTTTTTTAAAAATTCACACTAATAATGGAAAATGGGAGAAATAATATTTAAAGTGAACTGCATCAATATATATATATNTATATATATATATATATATATGGCAAAACAGGTTATTAACAGGCACAAATGTGTAGAAAAATTTCACATCTTGATTTACCTAATAAATTCTCATGCACTTACGATATTTTACGTGCGATACCAAGATGCGTAATTAATTGTACTGTGCAACTAAGATTTAGCATAATTAAATTATTTTTTCTGTTTAAAGCTGGATTTTAGTAGATTTAATAACAAGTATTTTTATTGTAAATTAATAATTAATTGTTTTTGCATCAGGCGCCACTGCTTTTCTTTTTATTACATTTGTTTTTATTTATTTCCATCTCTTGTGATAATTAATTTTAAATTTATAACACACATTAAGTAATCGATACTAACACTTTAAGACTTTGCTTTTTCTTTATAAAATTAAATATGAATATAAACCATCTAAATATTCCTTTAGGTTAGGTATTAGTTAATGCATTTCACTTCAGTAACCTAATGAAATTTGTTTAACTATGCTGTGCTTTAAGTTATTTATATTATAACTTAAAATTGATCAATGAAGTTTTTATATATTTTTAAATTTTACTTTGTTTATTTATTTGAGGTAAGCAACTCAGTTTTAATTTTTTGAGAAACAATTTAACTTTATTTAGAGCATTTTAAATCAATCATTTTGCTTAGAGCTTGAAAAATGTATGTATTTAGAGAAAAAAAAATTCAGAACATTCTGTAGTTATTTATTTTTTTAGTGAAGAAATTTTTTTGAAAAAAATAATTAACCTACTTCCATAGCGAACTACAACAATAACACACATCCTATTCAATTATTAGTTAAATAGAATACAAATTGTTAGTAGTTATTGGACCTGTATTTGGCAAATGAAAGGGATAAAATTTTATTCTATAATTCATAAAAATTTCCCCCCCATAAATTTGGCTCATCTCTAATGCTTCAACCAGGGACATATGCTCTTTCTCGTTCACAGTTAGCTATGCCACCAAATGCAAGTAAAAGGTACATCTGTTAATATTGTCTGCTTTGAAACATGATCGTAAGAACTGTACTTTCATTTTGTAGGATCTCATCTGTTCTCATTGTAGGATCATTTAAGTATATGCAGACAATAAATAAAGCTATTATTTTTCCTGTGCGATCTTTTTTTACCAGAAAAAATTGCTATGGACTAATAATACAGTAAAAAATTGTTTCCCCCCTTTTAATGTACAGTGACATTCAATAGATTTTTTTTATTTTATATATATAAATAATGCAACTTCTTGGCATTTTTTTCCATATTTCTTTATAAAAAAAAAAGAAAGATTTCAGTGAAAATTTTTTTTATTCCAGGATTTTTAAAATTATTAAATTTAAGGAAATATTGCTTAAAGATTAAGAAAATATTGCTTAAATAGTTTTATTTACATTGTTGTTAATATACCTTGCACAGTTAAAATTAAAATTAGTGATTTTTCAACTAACTTTTACAAAATGGAAAATGTTATAAGACACATTGATCCATCCATTCCAACAGGAAATAGAAGGCAATTAAAAAAATTTTTGGGTCACTGTATTGGCTATTTGGTACATTTTGTACAAAAACTAAAAAACTAACACTTTAAAACAATATTTAATTCATTAAAAGTAATATATTCTACAAACTAAACATATTATTTTCTTCACATCATTCAAGATGATATATTAAGAAATTAACATTTTAAATAAAATACTTTATAATATTGACACTTTTCTTGTGCCCACCTGCACTTTATGAGAAAAGAAAACACACTGACCTGGAAATTTTAAGATTGTTACTGAAAAACCTGGAAAAATCGAGGAAATTTGAAACCAGATTAGAGTGGCCACCCTGTATATATATAGTACGTTTAAATAATTAAATATAGCAATGAAAATATAAAAATGTTCGTAATTTTATATTAAAAATGAAAAGCAAGTTATATTTCCGAAGTAATATTACGAAATAATGCGAAAACATAAAGAAAAAAAACATAATTTTTGTTTTTCGGTATATTTAGCCCACCTTTGCAATATGGGCAAAATGGGGTAGGTTTTTTTGAAAGAAGAAACATCAAGGAAGACAACAAAAAAAAGTTTAGCTAATTACCTTGTGGAACTTTTTGGAGATAAATTTTGAAAGTGATTTAAACATTGTAAAATGTCAAATGATAAGATATAAACTGTAAGTTTGTCAAGAGTATTAACTAATCCAACAAATTGAAAAATTTTACTGTAATTCCAGACTAATTACTCTGATAAAAATGTAACAGAAAGGTGAAATTCCTTTATATATTTCTGAAATATAAATTTCAAAGTTTAATTTGTAAAAAATTTTTTTAACATACTTTTCACTACATTGTACTCTTGTCGGTCCAAAAAAGTAAATCATATTGTTTGGAATTATTATGAATACTTAATTTGGGCGATATTAAAGCTGCTTAAACATATTTTAGTTGAAATTTAATTTTTGACTTTTGGCCAAAGATCATGGTCTTCTGGCCCACTGTGCATTTTAAAGAACATAATTTAAATGGAAAATACAGAACTTGAGCAAAATCTGTCGAATAGTTCCTGAGAAATTGAATTTTAAATATGAATTTTTTGAAATTTAATTTCTCAGGAACTATTTAACCAATTATACTCAAATTTTGTATGTCATCATGCAAAATTATATTCTTTTAAATGATGAAAAAATTGTATACTTTGCAGTTCAAAAATTTTTTGATCTTTATTAAATAAAATAAAAAAAAATAATTAATATTTTGTAAAGTTATTATTTGAATGGAATTATCTTTAGACAAACGAATTTTATAATAGTGTGCAATTTTTTTTAATTCCCTTAAAAAGCTCTCAAGATTTAGCAAAGTACACAAAAAGTAAAATTAATGATTTGGGGTCCAAACTTTGGAGCTCTCTCTTAACCGGACTATTGAGACCATATTTCCCAGATTACAGCTATCCATTATATTTTGGGGGTCAGAAATCAGAGTTCGTTAAAAAAAGGTATGTTTATTCAGAAAAAGTTGAGGTCACCCCCTTGAGCCATTAAGATTGAGTCCTAGGTGAGTAATTATTATTAGATTCGGTCATTAAATAAAATGTTATTCAAGGTGGTCCTTCTTTTTGCATACTGTGCACTAAATTATGGCATTAGAAACATCTAAAACATTATATTGTTTCATTCGTCATAACGATCCATTTTTAAAAATTTAGTGTTATTCTGACTGCAAAGAAAAGGACAGCTCAACGTTTTTGGATAGTTGACGTTGTAGGAAGTTTAATGTTTGATATTTTTGACCTTTTAAGATTTTTTCTTAGTATGATAATTGTTTCCATGAGATATTTCAGAAGTATTCAAAAGCATATATTCAGATAAAAAGTCTTGTGAAAAGACTTTTTTATCCTATCTGGGATATTGAGTATCTTGAAACTCAGTAAATTTCCTTAAAGCTAATTGCAATCTTGTGCTCTTAAAAATTGTTGTCCTTACTTATGTTATCTGGCTAACTTATTTAACAGATGATTATTTTTTAAATTATTTCTATAAAACATCTAAGCAGTTCAAATACTGTTTGGAAAAACAGTAAAAGTGATTGGCTTTGATTTAAAAAAAAAAAAAAAGGATTGGAAAAAGAAGGAAAAAAACAGTTTAAAAATTAAAGCATGTTTACATATTTATTTATTGTTCTTACTGCTTATTAACTTTGTTTTTATTCTTTAGTTATGAATAGTAAAATAGTAGGTTAAGTATACATTTTGTAAAAACTAGTTTTCTACATATCTTATTAGTTTTATCTTATTAGTTATTTTGTTTAGTTTTATGTGATAATAAATTAAAACTATGACTCATGACTTATTATTTATTTATTTATTTTTTTGCTGATTGAGATCTTAAATTTTTTCTTAACTTTTAGACCAACAACAAAATGTATAAAAAATTGAACTTTCTTCTTTGTGATAAACTTACTGATATTTTTGTTGATAACTAATGTTAATACTAAACTTAATTATATTTTTTAGTATGGTATTGTAATCGATGCTGGATCCGCACATACTGAAGTATTTCTTTACCAGTGGTCAGGTGAAAAAGACCAGGGAACTGGTCAGGTTCATCAGAGAGGATCATGCGAGTATGAAGGTAATGTTTTTGACTTCTTGTGTAGATTAATTATATAGTTGTGAATTGTTGCTATAACCTGAAAGTGATTATGTTTTATTGAATTTTTTTTTAAAGTTGCTGTCAAAATTGACATTTAGAAAAACGATTCACATCTTTACATAAATATATATGAAATTCATTTGTCATTTCACTTCATCTATACATCAAAACCTGAGTCTAAACGCTGTATGAAATAGATATTTTATGGTTAAAGGGTCATATGGGTTTTGAAGGCTTAAAAAAAATTCCGAGATTCTATTGCTAATAATTATTTTATTTAAAGTTTAAACACATGAAATAATGTAATTTTATGAAATTTTTGTTTTAAACTTTTGACATTTAGCTGTGAAAATTGGATTTCTAGAACCTCAAATAAAGAAGTAATGTTGGATAGGTGAGATTAGATCATTCATATTTGAGCACAGAATTAAAAATAAAATTTGAATTTTTGTAAGAGTTGTATGTAGAAAAGTATATCTTTTATATTTAGACAAGAGTTATCTCTTACATCTAGAAAATGTATTGCCTTATAAAATAAGTATTCATCAAATGAAAGAAGAAAAAAAAGCAATTTCATTTTGTTCTGTCCCTAGTCAAGTCTTAGAAATTTCTATGAGATTGATACATTACACTATGAGAAATCATGTTTACCAATTTCAGAAATAGTCGTCTTAAACTAGGCCACTATTAGGTATTTGGTCTATTCAGGCCTTTTGCCAATTATTTGGTGGTCAAATATTCGGCAAGGTATTTTTTGGAAAAGCATTTTTTGAAAATAATTTTTTTTAATAACGTCAGGCACTGAACTTTCGTTCTTCGCCTTAGAAGATGCCAGAAGTGTTGCTCATTTATCGCTACCCAGTGGGCACCTGTGAACCAAAGTCACGGAGGCAAACAACATTACCCAGGCCACACTGCCACAAATACCCGTTCATAGGGTGGACCACATTCATACATTCACACATCAGAAGACAACACAGAGAGAGAGAAACATCCATGCCCAGAGCAGGATTCGAACCCGCAGCCATTGACTTCGCAGTCAGCCACGCTGACCACTCTGCCACCTGGCCTGCCTTGCCAAATTTATTTTTATGAATTTGACATAAAGAATAATCTAAAACAGTATTTTTTACTATACATTATTATAAATAGTTTTTACACTTCTTTATTAAGTTCTAAACCTGCACAAAGCTTGCAAATTTATGTTCTGGATGACGAATGGGAAAGCGAAATTTAAAGATTTAATATTAAATTACTTTATAACACTGAACCACGAGTTATGTAATGCTGATATTTTTTAATTAGATTCAGCCAAGTCAAAGCTCGGTTTTTTTTTTCAATACTTTCTGTTTAAAGAATTTAGAACGCTTTTTTTTCTTCCATCTTTTTTGTTGTTTTGTTAGCTGTTTTTATTATAGCGCAGCATTTTTAATGGAGCATTTATGATAGACGTGATTTTTTTTTATTGTCACTTCTTTCTGTACTTCAATTCTGTAAAATTTTTTTTCTGTTTCTCTTTTTTATCAGCGTTTTTTACACAGTACTTTTTAAAGAGCGTTTCTAATGAACGTTATTCTTTTATCGTCATTTTTTTCTAAAAATATGGCATGTTAAATTGAGATTTTTTGTGTTAAATTTTTCATGTTAATTTTTTGTGTTAAATTGAGATTTTTTGTGTTAAATTTTTCATGTTAATTTTTCGTGTTAAATTGAGATTTTTTGTGTTACATTTTTTGTTTAAAACTTGAGAACGATTTTTGTTTCAGTTTCTATGTAGCTTTTTCTTTTTTTAGAAAAAAACTTGTTTTTTTTTTTACTTTTTCAAGAAAGGAAAAAAACACTACAATAGTTTTTCATTAGGACTAATTGTAAAGTTGAAAATAAAGGAAAAAGAGAAAAAGAAAAAAATCCTCTTAATTCTTAAAACAGAACTTTAATTCTAAAAATGTTTTCGGAAAAAAAGTATCCATAAAACATTAAAAGAAATATAGTCTATCAGAAATGCTGTACTATTATAAAAGCACCAGTAAAAACGAAATATTATTTACAAAAGCCAAACATTAAAAATTTTGAAGCTTTCTGTTTTCCAAATAAAGTACTTAATAACAGTACATAATAACAGAAAAATAATTGTTCTGTTAAGGAACTGTGTTTTCTAATAATTTTATTTACAGGAAAAAGTAAAGAAAAAAAAACGAAAAGTCTAACAAAAACCCTCTTATTGACTTTTTTTTTGTAATTTAGAGCTTGTTTTTTTTAAAAAATCTGGAATTTCCTTAAAGTTTTGGAGAATTTAATGTGATCCAACTGATTTTCTGGAATTTTGAGAAAAACATATATATTTACGTGAGGCAATACTTTTTCTAAAATTAGTGGCCCACAGCACTGACTGTACTTTTCTGTTCTGCTACTTCCACACTAATTATTAAGACATTAATGCATATAGTGGACCTTTGTTTTGAAGCTCAATGGTCATTCAAAAATTTTTAAACGAAGGCCATTTTCTTAGACTTTGATCGTCAAAATCTACTTGTTTCAACAGTTAACCACAAAGATATATATTTTTATCATAAGTATACATATTAATGAGCTGTACCTAAAAAAATCAACGTGTGTTCAATATATTTCTCATAACCTTAAAATTGCCCTTAAAGTATCAAGAAACTGAAATTGTGAACAATTCTCAAGACCATTGACTGTCTTTGCCAAAACTAGATAAGTATAATGTTCACTCTAAAACATACTTAATGCTTGTAAGAAATTTATATAAAAATTATTCATTTTTAAAAAATAAAATCAGTTAATTCCGCTCTAGTATTATATTTGTTATAAATAAGATAGGAGATAAAATATAGATCTTGTGTAGTTCTGAATTTGTTATGCTATAAAGTTAGTGACTGCTGTGAAAGAATTACAGCTATTTTTTTTCTTGAAAATATTATGTACTTCTAAATAAAGTAAAACTTTTTAGAAAAAAATCTTTTTAACGAACTGAAAGTGCAAATATGATTTTATTCTGTAGTTGGAATTGCCAGTGGTGTTGATCCTGTAAACATAATTTCATGTGTAAATAACGTTACAAGTCTAGTCCCCAAAGGTTCATCGCCTGTACTTTATTTAGGAGCAACAGCTGGAATGAGAATATTAAAGTTCGTAAACTTCTCTTATAAATTTTATAAACAGTTTTGTTTATTGTTGCCATTACAGACAATACTTTTATTACCAGATGTTCTAAAAATACTGATTAAAAAAAATTGACTGAAGTGAAGTAGGTATAAATTGAATTATACATTTTGTTAATTTTTGCTTAGGAAACAACATATTTTTTCTCACTAAATTTTCAATTTTTGGTTAACAGTGTCATCTATTAACAAACTTTGTAACTAGTTTTAAAACTTGGTGAGAATCTGTCATCTATCTAGTTTTCTCAGCAAAAAACATTTAAATTTCTATTTTTCTTTAGTTGATTTTTTAAAGTCTTCTGTTATTTTTGGGATACCTGATTATAGTATATTTGCATATACATTAAAATTTTCTTTCTGATTGAAAAAATATTAAAATAAATACACCAGAACATAATTGGAAATAAAGATTTAATCAAGTATTTTATAGAACTTAATTAACATGCGTTATAAAAATTATAAGTATTTTTAATAATTCTTAAATGTGCTTTAAATTTATTTAAATAATTAAGTAATAATTAAGTATTAAGTAATAGATTGTATAGTTTAAAAGGTTTTACCTCCAGTAGCAGCTACCAAGAGAACAAGAAGAAACTTTTTCACCAACTTAATGACTTTCATTGACAAGAAAAGATTTATAATTGAAATGTTCTTTTTTTTGTACCAGTTAATGTTTAGATTATATTTAAAAGTATTTTCTGCTTTTTTTTTCAGTTTGACTAATCCGAAAGAAGCAAGTCTGATTTTAACATCATTGAAGTATGGCTTAAGTACTTCACCAGTTCAAGTTAAGACAATTAGTATTATACCTGGTGAAGCTGAGGCCCTTTTTTCTTGGATATCATCTAATTTTTTGATTAACTCTCTTTATGAGGTAGCATTTCTGTTGTATTCATTTATGTATTTGCAAGTTCAGATACTGTTTTAGCTGAAATTTGTTCTTACAGAGGATTCTAACTAATATTGTCATTCATTCTAAGGTATCTAGATTTCCCTTAAAGTTTAGCAAGGTACCACACATTTTTTAAAATTGCTTTCCTTTGGGAGAAAAAAAATTCTAAAATTAAAATTTTAAATATTATAAACATGCTTACTGTTTTCTTGTTACACCTTAAATATTTTATTATTACCCTGCATTCATGTTACTTATAAATTTTCTTTTCAAAGATAACATTTTTAAATTTATTCATTTGTGTAATTGTATTTTCATATTTGTAATAATTTTGTAAGTGTGTTTTCATATTGCAAACTTGTAAAAAAAGAATTACTATTTTTTTCTGAGTAGATTAAGATTTCCAAAACAGGTGAAATAACTTTTTACATTTTTAAGATATTTAAATCAGATTTTTTTCCATTAGTTGCCAAATACGATTCACTATAAATTATGAAATAATAATTTAGAATTTTTTTCACGCATGCTCAGTGCAAAAGAACTGCTTTTAACATTAAATTTTTTTTTTTTAGATTTCTCAAATTTGGTAATTTTAAATTGCTCCAAAAAATTTTTAAAATTTTACTTAATATTTTTAAAGTTATAACAAAAACACATAAGACAAAAAAAAATTAGTTGTTTATATTGCCGAGCAGTCTGAGTCTCAGTAGCTCAGTGGTATAATTCGAATCTACAAAGCAGAAGGTCCCAGGTTCGATGCGGACACTGATTCCCAATTTTTCTTATTTAATTCTATGAACATTCCAGAAGCTTCTGGTACATTCAATTTACATCATTTCCTCTTTAGTTATTCCTAGGAAGTTTCTAGAACATTCTTTGTTGGCAAGGGATCCCTTCATTGTAAACAGGCAGTTCTTAGTGCAGACTTGTTCTCGTCGTTTGTACTTTCTTCATTTTAATGAATTCATTATTTAAACCTCATCTTGTCATCTGTACTAAATCACTTTAACGTGACAATATAAATCTTCATAAATGCATAAATATTTAAGCTCGATTAACAGAATTTTATTCAGTTTTTAAAAATAGCTTAAGTCTTAAGTAATCAATACAAGTTACAAGCCTGTTGCTTAATTTTCTGACAAAGGGTGTTTAAAAATGCTTGTTTTCTTTTGTAATTTATATTTAGTCTCTCAAACCGCTAAACGCTTTTAACTTTATTGCCAAGTATGAAAAATCTCATGAATTAAATACTTCTTCTAAGTTAACAAAATAGTCCTCTAAGTATTTCTTGAGAAATTCAAAAAAATATCAAAAACTGAAAGTGTCTCTTCAATTATTGTAGGGTAGTGTATATATATATGTATGTATGTACATACATGTGTATGTATAAGAGCTTCATAATAACGTAGCCAAAATAAAAAGGCAAAGCAATTACATAAAATATAAAAAATGCATAGATACATGGAGTCGTAAACAGTATCTGAAGCTGCTGGATGAAATTACAAATATATTTTTGTGTTTAAAAACATATGCCATTCTTGAAAGCAGTGATATAAAGAATGCCTCCAAGCATCTGGCAAAGTTTGAGCATTTCTTTCAGTAATATTGGTCTTAAAGGTTTAATTTGTGTTGAAAATAGAAATACAACATAGATGAAATGATTTAGAATGATTTTTGTCTTTTGACCTTGTATATTGTGACTAATTTATATAATTTTCAAATATTCATGTTGTGACTTCAAATAGCATGTATGATCCCTATGTTTCAATGTGATTTTTTGTTATTATTTATCTTTCTTTGTCTTTTTATTTTGGTTATGTTGCTTTGAACAATTTCATATATATGTACAAATGCATATATACTTTAACTTATAAAATATTATTTTATTTTTTTCTTATTGTCATTTATGAAGCCCTTATTTTCAGGAGCTAAGTACTTATGGAGCTTTAGATTTAGGTGGAGCTTCTACTCAGTATGCATATGCTGTTCATAACAAATCACTCATTAATGATACAGACGTTTTCCCACTAAAACTATATGGTCATCAGTATTTTGTGAAATCTGAAACTTTCCTTTGTTTTGGTTATATTGAAGCTTTGTATAGAAATGAGGCATCAATGTTTATGGTAAGATTCTTATTTGAATGCTTTAGTTTGTTTTTATATTAATTATATATTTTGACTTCCTCTTTGTGATTCTATTCTTAGAAATTTGCTGAAAATCTATGATTTTTATCTGCAGATCTGCTTTCAAATAAGATCTGTCTTTAAATGTTCACTTGCATGTGATGACTTAGTTTTTCCTAAATTTGAAGACTAGTTTTTAAAAGCACAAGCTCTTTGGTGAAAATGAGAAGATACAATATTAATTTTTAAATGCATAAATATACATACATAAACTAAAAATGCCTTAAGTTATTAGTGTACAACTCTTCGTTTATGACGTAACTATCAATACACTGAAAAAATAAAGTCATTTTTAGATTTTTGGTTTGCTTATTGAAAGATGACTTCAAAGATGTCTCTTTGATTATTAAATGACAAAGATCTTTAGTATTCTGTTTTTAAAAATCCAAATGTTTCAATGTTTACAACATAAGGTAAGGCTATAAAAATAAATTGAAAACGTGTATAGGGTAATACATTCTTACATATAACTGTGTATAACAAATGCTTGCTAGAGTGGTTTTGTAAGATTGTAATGTGTGCTTGTCATACTTTGAAATTTTATTTTTAAAAAATAATGAGTGAAGAGTAAAACCCTTTGATTTTGAAAATAAATTAGTAAAAGAACAAGTAAAATTACTACTGCAAAATAGAAAAAGTAACAACCGTAAAGTAAATCTCAAGGAAATCTATGATTTAAAATAACCTTAAATTTCACTAAAAAATGTTAAAAAAAATTATTTAATTTAATTTAAAATATATTAAGTTTTAATTTAACAAATTTTAAGCTGTATGAAATGTTACAAATTTCTCTGAAATATTAAACATTAAAAATATCTAGAATAGAAAACAGAAATCAAATTCAATATTTGCATATAAGAAAGAATTTTAATTTTTATAAATTTTAAAACTACCAAATCTTTAGAAATTTTGTTTTTACTTTCAGAAATTGTTGTAATGAATATAATTGTTAAACAAAGTTGATAAATATTATAGCTTTTGTTTAAAGAATAAGTAAATAAGTAGAAAATTCTATTCATATTCGAGAAACCTTATAAAATCCATGAAATTGAATTTTTTATTTAATTTAATGGATTATTTAATTAAAAAATTTGTTTTAAAATTTTGCATTTTTTTAATTTGTGATATAGATAGGCATATTGAATCCACCCATATTCAGAAACTGAGCAAGAAAGTTTTATTTTTGAATTTACTGATATGATGAACTAAATGTTTATATGTTAAAATTCATGAAATTTTTTTTTTTTAAAATTCAAAATCAAAATAATATATGTCCAGAACTTCTTTAATGCATACTATATTTCAATTAAATAATGCGTAATTTTTATAATTTAAAACTTAAATATCAAAAAATTTAAATTTTGTGCTATTATGTTTGGTTTAATCATCTCAAAAAGTTATTTAAATTATTTAAAAAAAAAATCCAATGTACACATATGGTTGACAAAAATATTGCTTTTCAAATTTAAAAGAAATGGATTAAGGTATTTTTCAAATAAAAAACAATTGGATTTTGTTATATTATGTACCTTTTTAAACTATTTAATCTGCAATGTACTCTACTGTCATTTTTCGTCTCAAACCAAACTAAACTATATAATATAAACAAGGAACATCATCCTAGGATTATTAGTCTTGGGCGTTGTGCATAAAAAGGGATATAACACTGCTTTTTGTCTTTTCATTTTTACTTTTTCTTCTCTTCATCTCACTCTTTATTATTTTATTTCATGTCTGTATTAAAGTTAAAATGCATCAAATTTATCAACAAGACATCAAAGATAGTTGGAATTTGTTACATAAGCAAAACTATTTCCTAAGGGGAAAAAAGTGATTCCCCCAAAAGTCCGAATTCATAAGACCAATAGTTTTCTCTCCACCCATGGCTTATCATAGGGGTGCACAACCTATTTGAGTGAAGAGCCGCATGCATAACAGATTAATTTATGAAGGGCCGCATGTCCAAGTATTAGACATGTTAACAGAAATTATAGGTAGTGATTGTGATATAAATCTAAATATTTTTAAATGTTTAAAAATAAAGAAAAAACAATATAGATAAATTGAAATAAATAAAAATAATGGTCATGGTTCTTTTATTACCTTACAAAATACAAGAGTCCATTATAATATAAATTTTAACATTAAAATACTTTAATGGTCATCGAATTAAATTTTAATAAAATAAATATTCTATTAGGTAAAACAAATCCAAGTTAAATATTTTAATGTATCAAAAGTTTATAGGGTTTTAAATGATTTAAATTGAAACAAAATTCTTTAAGTGCAAAATAAGATTCAACATTTAGCAGATAATACACTTCAATTTTGAAACATTTAGTTCTTAACTTAGTTCTTAATTTTAGTTCTTACTTTCTTAAACCTTTTTTTAGAACCTTTTGATCTAAACAATTCCCTTGCAATACTCCAGGTATTTAGGCCGCATATCATTGCTGATTCTTAAAAAATAGATAATGCTTGTTCCATTACTACTAGAATAATCTCTCACTCAATGAGTTTTGAAAAAATGCAATTGAGTGTTTACAAATGCAAAGAGTAAACCCTCTAGGAAATTGCTCTGCTTGAAGATTTGGGGGAAAAAGGTAGTTGTTAAAGGATATTGAAATATCAAATTTAAAAATTTAAAAAAATTAATTAAAAAGATTTTGAAAACAAATTTTTTTTAAGGAAAACTTTTAAAAGAATTTCAGAAAAAGTAAAGATTTATTTCAAAATTTTCATAACAAATACTTTTACTTTTCCCAAAAAAGTAATGAAAAAACGAATAAAGGTACTGAAATTAAAAAGTAATGAAGTACAACTAAAAGTAATAAAATAAAAATACATACTTTTCACTTTTGCTTTCATTACTTATAACAAAAGTAAAAGTATTCCCATGTATGGTGCTGGTAAGAATGTTCTAAAGCCTAGTTTTTGATAAGCTTTCTAATTTTATTGATTGATATTTATTTTAAACATCTAAAAATATTGATATTTCTGACATGCATTGTATATGTTTTCAGGAAATTGAAACACCTACTCTTAATGATCCTTGTTTACCTGCAGGATATGTTGAGAAGATAGATGTTCAGTCTTTTGCTCAAAAACCTTGTATACAAAGCCAAAAGTTTAACAAGTGGATTCAAAATCATTCAATTACTGTAAATTTTTTTTCTAGATATTTATATCTTCTAATAACCAAATAATAAAGATAAATAAAAAAATAGTTAATTTATTTTTAGTTATTTTAAATTAATTTGATCATCTCTGTTTCACTTTGATAATAAAGAAAGCCATAATTATTTGAAAAAAACCATGTTTTAAAAATATGTAAATAAATTAATGTTCTAATAAGAATTAATAAACATAGGTCCAAGTAAACTTGACAGTTTGAGAAAATATTTAAGTAATTAGTAAGCACTTATTGTTCCTCTCTGCATTAAGTTTTTACCTCTTGTAAGCTAGTTGTTGGGTACAATCATAATAGGTTGATTATTTTTAAGTACTATTAAGGCTTTTTGAAAAAACACATACATAGATTTTGTTTTTGAAGCACGAAAATTGTCTATCACTTATAAACTGAAATTTTCAAGTGAATTTTGGAACATTTAGGACATTTCTTTAAAATTATATTTAGTGGGCTTGGTGTTTAAATCATCAAAATATGAAGCAAAACGTTAAACATACTGATTTGCCAGTGCAGCTAAATATTGCAAATTACTATAAGATTCTTTGAATTGATCCGAATTGACTGACCAAATTCTCTATGCTGAGTTAAGAGTAAAATGAATGCAATGTTTTAGTTTGTTAGCATATTAACATCTCACTAGAGCGACAGTAATCTGAGTTAGGTTTGATTTTTATACTTATACTTGTTACTTAATGTGTATGAAAAAAAATGAACCTCACTAAATATGAAAACATAAAAATTGATAATGTGTGTTACACAATTATAACAAGTTTTAACTCATTTTTCTCATGATCAGTTTTAATTTTTATTATTATCTTGAAAAAGTACATTTCAGTTATTTTTATTCTATTGGAGAGCATGTCTAAATCACAATTAAAAAATTTATTTTAAACTTAACTTTTCAGTAGTTGACCAATAGTTGATCGCATTAAGATACTTATACTTTTTATTTCATTATTTTCAGGGTGAATTGCTTGTTAGAGGAGCAAGTGATTATAAACAATGCCGAAAAAATATTTTGAATCTTGCAAACCAGACCTTTTGTGAAATGTCTGGCTTCAAATATTGTTTTCCTAATACTAATTTAAGAGGATTGAACATGAATTTTACTGTAAGAGTTTTCATATACTTACTTTTATACATTTTTATTTATCAGAGGGTCATAACAAAATTTCTTTTTCAGGCTTTTTCTGGATTCTATTATGTTGTTCATTTTTTGAATGGCACAAACTCATTGGATGAGTTTGTTAATTCCACTCAAACTTGGTGTACCTTGACTTGGGAAGAGGTGAGCTGAGACTATTATATTTTTACCATTTTATAATATTTATGTTAATGTATTATATTGACATTATAGTATGAAAATTATTTCATATTTAGTTAATTACTTTCCCAATTTATTTTCTATCCTCATAATAAGTTGCTCAACTATTATTTTTATTTCTAGTTTTAAATAATTCAGTATCACACCTTCTCTTATTATTGAAGTGTTTTATTACATACTGCTATTCAAAGACTTTGTATTACTCGACCAACTACACTGGTGAAAACAATGGGATACCTGCAAGTGACGTAGTGTGTGTATTTCGAGTCTGATTGGTTGCAAAAACGTGGCATTGTTTATGTTAGCAACTGTTCTTTTCATCTTATTTCGAGTTAACTTACCCCGTCAAGTATCAACTCTCTTAAGAGATACATGTTATAATCCTTCACAAAGGTTCTTTCACAATGATTTTAATTCTTTCACGACATATTTCTAACTTAACATAAAGATGGGCACGATGCCATGTAGAATATAAACAAACTAACTATGCATCGATGTTGCCAGGTACGCAAAACGAAAATATATCAATTGTTACAATAAAATACATAAACAAATGATAAATCTAAGAACGAATTAATATTTCAACAAATTCAATGTGCGATACTACATTGTATTTAATTAACTTCACGTTAATTAACATTCTAACTTATGTGGAAAAAATTTTGCTGAATTTTCCCCACCATCTTGTTTATAGAGGAATGGTGCTGACGTCATAGGTCACATGTGTGGGAATAGATTGTCTTCTTCTCGAAGTGCAAGTACCCAATTGAAAAACAAATGCTTTTTTTTTTTGCTTTAAAAAGAACTACAAAAGTAAATAAAACCAAACTTGGGCAAAACATCATCCGATATAGCATATATATATAAGAACAATATATGAAAAAACAGAAGTAGTCAAAACCTGTATATTAAATAAGGAAACTCAACTAAAACGTGATGCACAGCTCTCACTTAGACTTGGCCAGCACAGTAACTGAACGACACCCTATCATTGATGGCTGTCAGAGCTGTTCTTTACGCTAGAATTGAGAGTTCAAGGGCATACCCTACATAGGATTTCTCTTTGGTAGGATTAAGGTCATGGGACATTGCAGGCCATTCCAACTGTTGAAAATTCTCTGATTGGAGGTATTGGTTCATCAACTGGGCTCTGCATGGAGAGGTGTTATTATCCATAAAGATGAAAATTACTCCATATGCTCCTTGAAAAAGTTTCAAATAGGGTGTAAGGATGCCTGTACTGCTGATAGGTTAGAGTGCCTCTATCGAATGCATGATGGTCCGTATGTCAGCCTGTCATGATAGACCATGAGACTACTTAGATCCTAGTGGTCTTATTGACAATGAGAGAGAGCCTATACCGATTCCCAGGTCCTTTCCTGATGAAAACAGGTCTCGCGTCACTGAAGAGAACTTACCACCCCAATCATCCTCTGCCCAAGACAGGCATTGTTGGTACCTTGCTAGATGTTCCTTTTTGTAGTTCACAGTCAATGGGATGCAGACTACAGGGCGTCTGACTTCCCACATTAAGTCTCTCGGCGACTGTTTTTCATGAAATGGATGTTCCTGTTGTATTACAGTTTGCGAGACAATTGTGTTGCTATTACAGACCTATTCTTTTTGGTTAGAAGTCTCAAATAACTATCTTGAGCCAGCATTGTTGCTTTCTTGTTATTTGGACCAAGAAATAAAAAATTTACTATGATAGAGCTAAGCTACAATCTTTGGCAAGCAAATGAGATAACTACACAAATGTGATCACAGCGTCACAGGCCACTTCCTGGAAGAGATGTCTGCAAAGAGTTTAGCTATCATCTGATACCTTATTTTCATATTGGCGTTACTTATTTTGTTCTTTTTTTAAAAAAAAATATGTTCCCCCCTTTAATGGGTTTTACTAGTTTACCCCATTGAAGTAGAGTGACAAAATAAGAAAGGTTATGATGAAAAGACCAATTATCTAGCAGGTGCAAAGCTTCTTTTCCGTTCATGTTTTACCCAGAAAAGAAAATACTTACATTTTTTTTGTAAAATACTGCATCTTTTGTAACTTGCAATGTAAGGTAAATGAGTAAACCACACTTTTTATAGCTATAAGGAAATTTTTGAAATTTTGTTTTTGTATAAAAAAAGGAATTCCTGCAACAGGCTACTGTGATCCAGAGAAGTCATTCGACTCCACAATTTCATGATTACAGATAATGGCTCCACGATTTCAGGTTAAAAGATTCAGACTGATCAAAACTACATAATTTTATGACCAATATGATTGTAGTAATTTAGTCAGTTTTGTGCATTCTCAGTGTTTTGTGCATTTTTGTGTCAGTTTTGTGCATTTTTTACTTCTCAGATAAGTTAATGCTCATCAGTCTGAAGCTGGGTGGGCAAACTACTGAACTTTTTTTTAAGTCCTATATTGAGGAAAATTTTAAAAGTACAAAAATTTGTTTATAAACACAAGAAGTAAATTTTTTAAAAATGTACTAAATTAATATGATTTTGATCTCATTTGAGGAGTCAGAGAGCAATGCTGTGGTGCTAGGCAGATCTTTAAAGGCTCTATGAACAGTTTCAGATTTCCAAATAGTTTTTACACCTCCACTTATTTTTCGTATTGTTTGACCTTTTGCTTTTTATTTTTTAGTCCTATTTTTTCTCATTATTTTTAACTTGTTAACCATTTTAACAGAAATGTTCTTCACTTTGGAAATTAGAGTACAAAGTATTAAATGAAATCATAGATTATCCTGATGAGTATTTATTTTCTAGTATTAATTATGCTTTAAATAAAGGTTTTTTTCCCATCTAAATAATATTTTTTATTTAGATACAACATACTGTACCGGAATCTGAGTTAAAACATGTACTACAATATTGCTTTGCTGCTATTTATATCACTGAGCTTCTGACAAATAAATATGGTTTTGATTCATTGACTTGGAAAACTATTCAGTTTACCAAACAGGTATGTATGAAATTTTCTTCTGCTGATGCCAAATTTTAGTTCCAATATATATATAGAAATAGTAGGTAAAAAGAGTAAAGAAATAATGAATAGCTAAAACTGGCTAAGGTAGATTTTTTATGATATTTTTTTTTTTGGTATGAAAAAAAGAGCATTTCAAAAAATAAATATCTGAAGATTTCCGAAGTTATTTTACTGAAATTTCATTCTCAGTAATAAATTATCTTATATTTTTGGCAACTGATTCATTCCTTATATCTCTTAGTATTTTAACCTTCACCTTAAAAGATGATTTGCCTTCTTTAAGCAAATAGTCTCATATTCTCAAATTATCTCGGTGACCTTTTCTTATTTTTTAAAATTGTTTTTCATTAGACTTAATTTATAAGTCCGTTTGATTTCTTTACCTGGTGTATGTAATATTGCATAATGTTTGATAGCCAATTCTAGCTCTAACCATTATAGCCTATTTATGTTCAACTTTATTGCAACAACTAATATTGCAGTAATAGAAAAAGTGCCTTTAAAGAAAATGAAATAGTAGTTCATTTTGAGTGTGAGGCATTAATCTGTGTCAGCTACCACTTGAATTTTTAAAAAAAAATTAAGCTATACAATTTCTGATCTGAGTGAAAGATTTTTATATCACGATAGATATGGTCACATATGTCTTACTTTCTAAGATAATTACTTACAGGGAAATGTTTACATTTTTATTTATTTTGATCTTCTTAAGCAAAGTTTCTAAAAAAAAGATACTGGCCAATGATGCATTTATTTTTCGATACTTGTTTCTAATTTTTATAATTGTTAAATAAAAAATCAGATTCTTTATTAAATATTAGAGAGACAGAATCGTTTCTTTTTTCCATTTTTTTTTATCAAGTCTAATATATTATACAATATTTTGTTTTGTTAAATCATATTTTATTTTCTCTTAAAATCTTTTTGCATTCAAAAAATTGCTATTAAATTCTTTATAAATAACAAGTAATGTAAAGAATTCTGTTTTCAAGTAGCAATTTTAATTTTTCTTTAAATATCCTAAAGAATCAAACGCAGTCTTTTATGATAATAATAAGAGTCAAAATTAAATTTATTTATAAAGTTAGCAATAAACTTTAAGAATTAAGATATTCATATACTTAAAAGTTGAAAGATAATATGCATATTTCAGCTATGAATTTTTTTTTTACCTTAAATTTTTTTTAGAAGTTTAATGGTAATTTTTCATATATATATATNATATATATTTACTTTTTTTTTAAAATTTTGTCTCATATTTTTAAGTCAATTTTTGTTATATTACTGCAATAGAACTTATAAAATACTTAGTTAGAAAAAAAATTCACGTAATTTTTATAATCTTGAATAATTATGTATTTGAAAATGTATGTGGGATCTAATGAATTGGTACTACAACCTGTGGTCTTAAATTCGACATTGCATATCCAAGGTAAAGAAACTAAATGGTGTTAAAAGCAATGTTCATTGCAAAAACTAAAGATCACTTCAGGTTAATGAAACCCATGTTTACTTATAAAAAAGGAACACTTGATGAAAAGACTAATAAAGAAGTTTAGTATTTCATATTTTTATATTCTTTTTGTTAAGAACTAAATCTTGTTTGAAACAGGGATTCCACAGTCCTTAAAGGTCCTTAAAAACTGCTTAATTTTTACTTCGGAAAATAAGAGCCCTTAAAAGTACTTTACCAAGGTTTTTAAAAGTCCTTAATTTTTCAGTATCGCTATACTTGATAGGAACGATTTTTACAAAAATATTTTTTCTTAAATCTTTTATCACCTAGAATCTTTCTTTTCCATCCATCATCCATCTTTCTTTTATCACCTAGAATGAAACCATGCATTGAGGATACAGCATTTTAGAAGGCTTGGCATAACTGAATATTTAGCAAGATTGGCCCACAACTGAATATGTGATGCATGTCTAGCAGCAAAATATAAAAACTTGTTTTAATAATTTTTTCAATGTTTTCCCAAATTTCTTTATTTATTACTCATTTATTTATTACTGTATGAAAAAATTTGCAAATCTTAATTTCTGCACTTAATTTTATTACTCAATTTCAAAGAAATCATTAAAAATGGAATACAGATTAGTTTCATAGATGTTAACATTTAACAATCTGAAAATAATTTTAAAAAAAACCCAACCCGGGTTTGTAAAAACTGCCTGGTCTTGCTTTGGCGAATCCTGTTAATTATTACAATTATATTAGTACTAGCATCATAATAAAATTGTTTTAATTATTTTTTATTTATTGATATTTTTTAAGAAAGGTAAATAATTGGCACTGTTCACTGGTATTATATTCAATGATAAACAATTATACTATTTTTAAGGTCCTTAATTTTTTGAAAAATTTTTTGATTTTTTTTTCAAAGAAGTCCTTAATTTTTGCTTTGTTTAAAGAGTGGGAACCCTGTAAAATGGTTTTATTGATTTGTTAATAGAAGAATTGTAACAGCCAATTTCTGTTTACAGATTGAACAGGCAGATATTGGATGGACTTTAGGATACATGATTAATGCTACAAATGCTATTCCTGAAGAAAAGCCTTCTCCACCTGTAATATCTTTATCTATTTTTGCACCTTTAGCTGTGTTGAGCATTGCTTTGATTGTCATCGCAATTATCATCATTAAGAAACATGGAGATATGAATATCTTTAAGAAAAGTCACACCAGACTCTTAGATGTATAATTTAGTTAAATTAATATTTCTATATTATTCCAAAATATTTAATGTTTTTGTTCCACAGCTAATAAATATATAATTAATCTTTTACGCTAAATGCTATATATTTTTTATTAACTCAAAATAAAGTTTAAACGTTGGCTTTATGTTTCATGCACGGATATAGTTATGAAAATAAAATAATTTTTTCCCCTTAACTTTTATATTTTTTTAAAAAAAATATTATATTAATGCTTTTTCACTAAGAAAAATGATTCAAATATCAAAAAATAATTAGATCTCAAGCTAAAGTTTTAACACAAAAACATTCCCAATAATCTCAATTTTGCATAATATTGTATGTACAGTGTGCCAATAAAAAAGACTACTCTGAATAGCTTTTGATCAAATGATCGGAACTTCATATTCTAGGACTCAATCTCAATGGCTCGGGGGATGATTTGAAATATGCTAATTAATTAGTGCAGACGATATTTAAGTTACGAAATCAGACACAAAAACGTGCTTCCTCTGAATAAACATACCTTTTTTTGAGGGGTTCTGATTTCTGGCCGAAAAAATATCGAGGGTAGCTGCAATCTGGGAAATATGGTCCCAATAGTTTGATTAGGAGAGCACTTCAAATTTGACATCTTAATGCTAATTTTACTTTTTTTCTTATTTCGCTATATCTCGAGAATTTTTTAAGCAAATTTAAGACTTTTTGCTTACAATTATAAAATTCGTTTTTCAAAAAATAATTCCATGCAAAAAATAACTTATAGAAAATATTAATTATTTTATTTAATAATGTTCGACAAAATTTTGAATTGTAAGGTACAAAATTTTTTTCATCATTTTAAAGAATATAATTTTACATGGCAAAATGCTAAATTTGAGTGAAATCGGTTAAATAGTTCCTGAGAAATTGAATGTAAAAAAAGTCAGTTATTTAAAATTCGATTTCTCAGGAACTATGTGACCGATTTTGCTCAAATTTTATATTTTGCTTTGCAAAATTATATTTTTTTAAATAATGCAAAAATGTGTTAAAATTTTTTTTTTGCATGTAATTATTCTTGGATAAACAAATTTTATAATTGTGTTGAAATATTTTTCAATTCACTTAAAAAGTTCTGGAGATATAGCGAAATTTGCAAAAAGTGAAATTAACATTAAGGGGTCCAAACTTTGAAGTGCTCTCCTGATCAAACTATTTGGACCATATTTCCGAGATTTCGGTTGCCCCCTATATTTTGGGAATCAGAAATCCGAATCGGTTGAAGAGAAGGTATGTTTATTCAGAGAAAGTATGTTTTTGTGTCTGATTTCGTAACTTAAAATATCGTCTGCATTAATTAGCATATTTGAGGTCACCTCCTTTAATCATTAAGATCGAGTTCTAGAACATGAAGATCCGATCATTAGATCAAAAGTTATTCAGGATGGTCCTCTTTTTTTTATAATGTATAAATGGAGTACATTATCAAATATTGAAAAATTAGGAATTATCACAAATGCTTTTTCTTTGAAAGAACTTTAATTATTTTGTTAATTTTTAATCCTATACAACATTTAAGTATCAAAGAATAACATGCCATTTTCTAACAGATATTTTATCTGTCAAAAGAACGTGTAAAAAATTTCATTAAGGCTACTGTCTTCTAATTTTAAGTGATATAATTACAGTGTCTTTCTAATGTGTTTTAAATGGTTTTCTTTCTTTTTTTTACATTTTTCTGTAAGAAATTTACTGATGTGACTTATGCTTTAACGTTAGGAAAACCAAATTTTGAATAAGACAAATAAATATCACCCATCTCTATAGTAATTTAGTTTATATATTATAATATTTTTAGTTATTTTTCAATAAGTTAGTTGAAAAAAGCTGTGTAATTGTTGTTGTGTAAAAGTTGGTGCTTACAATTAATTCATGACACTGTTGGTTTATTTTGTTAAATTCTATAACTTAATTTTTTTATTTGTTTATTGCTTTTTAATTTAATTTACTTTATGAATATCTTGTTTTCACATTTATGGTTCTTAGTCTTGCAAAGTTTTTGAATGATCAGTTTGTTGTTGATTTTTTTCGTCTTGGACACCTGGCAATTATTTTGACAAATGTACCTTTCTTATTTTTTTTTATATATTCATCCTTTACTGTGATTTGGTGAGTTTAATGAATCTCTATCTATTAAATGCTAGTTTCACTGCTTGTTAAAGGATTAGAGAGATTCTTTACTCAGTTTTAGAAATGCTCTACTATTGAATGCATTTCTGTTTTTAAGAAACAGTAATCACGAATTGTATCTAACTCTATTACATTGTTATTGAACTTCTTGACATTCTAGGGTAAGGGTCTTTAACTAAAAGCTTAAATTTGGGAATTCAGAAATTTTAAAGAAGGAAAACTATTTGAACATATGTTTTGCTGAATTTTTTCTGTTACACAAACTTCCACAAAAAGGAAACATTTCAAGATATTATTTTAATGTTTTTTTAAATGTTTGAAAATATTCTGTGTCTATAAAATGTAATCAGTTGGTCAAAGATTAAAGACCTTTACCACAGTCTTGTTAGTCACAAGTATTTACAGTTTTCTTGTTAATTTGCTTGCAAAACTAATTCTTAACACCAACTGTTATTTTTTCTCTTATGTAATTTAAGTTTTAGTTGTTTTGGTTAAGACATTTTTAATATTTTTGACGTATTTCATGGAGGAAAAAGACATTTGCCCTGAGTTCATAGTTTTTGCTTATGACCTGGGCTAAATTGAAAGAAAGCTAATTGTGATAGTTTTTTCTTATTTTTATCTTTAAAAGTGGCATATGCCTTAATGTTATGTGGAAATATTGTATTTTTTTATTTCATGTTAATAAAATATTTAAATTCGTTTTTTTTTTTGTTACTTTTAATTGCTATCTTACATCTTAAAGATTGTTTGCTTTATTTGAAAAATGAATAAAGTTTAAAATTTATCTAAAGACATTTTTACAAAGCATTTTAAAGATAGTTTGTTTTATTTGAAGAAGGAATAACATTTTAAAATTTGTATAAAGCTATTTTTACTAATATCACCCAAACATGATTTAGCACCTGGCCTTGCTTTTTAATCTTCTGATCTGTTAAATGTTATGGTTGGAACACCACCTAACTTTGACCTAAGTCAGACAATGTGCAGAGCTCCTGAAAACTTTCACTAGAACGACAGGAGTTTCAGCAATGGAAAATTTAACATGTTCCTTGCTGTGTATATATGCTGGTGTTTTAGTCAATAACCAACCAGAAAGGATCAAACTTAAATTTTCTAACTCTACTCTAGAAGTGGGAGATGCCTTAACTATTTGGAGCATTTCTGTAAGTATCTTCTTTCTATTGATTTTTATACTATCTATATATATTAAAAATTTTGTAAGAACTTCTTTTTAATACAGTACAAAACCCGTTATCCGGAAATCAGAAAACCGGAAAACCAAAAAACCGGAACGAAATTCGATAAATTTTCCCGCTATTTTTTTAAAAAGGTGTTTTTTTCTTCATAAGATTTTAGGATTTTTCTTTCTTTTTTGAAAGATGTTTACCTTACCATCAGTTTAGAAATAATCATTAGTGTATTACTTCATCGTTTTTTCTTTTTAAAATAATTTCCGAATATATATATTTTTTTTAGTTGGGTTTAACGATAAAAAAAACGGCTTTTTGTAGCGATTCAGAAAACCGGAAAAATCAGTTATCTGGAATAGCGATGGTCCCTATCGTTCCGGATAATCGGTTCTCTACTGTACTTTATTTTCAAAACTAGTTTAAGTTTTTATTCCGAATGACTGTTATTTGTTTTTGCTGTAGCAAGTTTAATATTTTAAATTATAAAAATTTTGTTTGTTTTAACAGAGATAAAATAAATGTAAATAATCTTTCTTTATTGCTTACATATGTTGCGAAAGGATAATGTTTACCCGAAATTTGTGTATTCAAACTACTAATGTCATAACTCCATTTTCTCTCAATTGTGCTCATTGAGTAAAATTTTTAATTTATTTCTTTATAAATTTTATATTTTTTAAATTAAATAAACATTTTATTAAATTTAATATATCTTTATTTTTTAAGGAAGTTCCAACCATTTTTTACTATTTCATGGGAATTCTCTTTTTGAGTTGTTTGAAGATAGCAAGAATATTATATGATGGTATGTAAACATTCTGTAGCCACTTTGGAAAATTTAATGAAAGTATTTTTTTATTTATCAATTGATCTTATTTTTATTACAAATTCTTTCAAATAACATATCAAATAATTGGATGGTATTGATGTTTAATAAATATCAAAAAGCTCTTGCAGTATGTATCACTAATTCCATACCATCTCATCTATAAAACAGCTAATATTAGCTATAAGATTGAAATTTTCCTCTTTTATTAGGTGCTCCAAATTCTTATTTTCTTAATGTGCTTTGAAAGATGGTTCTTTTATTTTTTTTTTCTAAACTGCTAAAATATTAATTTAAGATATCCACTTCTGTTTGCTCAATATTTACTCAGTTATTCTCACTCTTTTACTAAATCATTTATGAAGGAAATCTTTTTGGAACAAAAGTAAAATTGGGATGAGAACAAATGAAAATGAATTTCAACTTATGTGGGTTTTAAATCTATAGATTCATTATCAGATAATGATATTTTCCCTTTGCATTACTAGAATACTGATGTTTGTAGCTACATTTTCTAATTCAGGATTAACTTTTTATTTTGGGAGGGGGTTGATATTTTAGAAGCTATTAGACTGGTATTAAATTTAATTACATTTAAAATTGAGCTTCAATATATTTTATCTTTAAACTTTTTCTGAGTTGTAAAATATATGTATAACAATACAATGTGAGTTATATTTCAATTAATGCAGAGTGTTAAATTTTTATACGAGGGTAATTTTTAAAGTAAGAACCGATTGCATATCATGCCATACATTCTCTCAAGTGGAGTTAGTTCAAGGTTAGCAACCCGTGGCAAGTCTCACTATGTCGCCATTAGGTTTCATTATCTATGTCGCCATTGGGCCTCGCTTGTTACCATGTCAATCAGTAATCCCACCGATTGAGAAGTGCGCTCTGTTATGCAGTTTTTTAATGCAAAAAATGTTTGTCCTGCTGAAATTCACCAGCAGCTTGTTGAAGTTTATGGTGAAGGTGTAATGAATGATGAAAATGGTGTAGGCTGTT